ATTTTTATATATTTAAATTTATAGTACAGTACAGTACTATTTAAATATTAGTACAGTACTGAATTTTGGCAGACCGGAAGGAAACGTAGCTGTAAACCATGAAGAGCAATATATTAATGATAAGGATGGTAAAGAATCTCAAATACGATGGCCAGTATTTATTAAGATGTTTTTGCAATATTTTGTTGCAATTATTATTACTAAATGCGTATCAAACCATTTATATCGTTAAGAATACAATATTTTATTGAGAACTCGTATTCTGCAACGGCAGGGCGATCTTAGGCCGCAAGATAACCTATTGCTTTGGTCACCAAATTTATCACAGGTCCAGCTCGGCTTCATCCGATGTTTTTAATTTGGCCGAACTTGTAAATCTCCTTGGAACTCTTCATCAACAATTACCCCATTAATCCTAACCAGGGGATTCAACCAATGACGATTCACTTCCTTAGCCGGGTTTGTTGAGCAACAATAGCTCAAAACATCGATGTCCAACGGTTATTTAGACAAAGTCCAACGGTTATTTAGACAACTTACACTCCAAAACACCTGGCTTCCAAACCAACCTCTTTTTATGCCTGCGTCCTCAAATATGGCATCTAACCTTGGCCCACCACCTTCACCCTACAATGCTCCGATAGTGTATTGTATTATTGTAACTTTTCTAACACAACTCTAAAAGCAGCGCAAAGGAGAAATGAATTATTAATTTGAGAATTAAACATTTAAATGACCATTATATTAAGAAAATCCTAACATTATTACAATAAAGTGAACTTCGTGCTGATGATTAAAATTAAATGATATATGAAATGATTTATATAAATATTATGCGGCTTCATGATCAGTTTCATAAGCAATTTACAGCTAAGAAAAGCAATTGACCGGTTAAATATAATGAGGATTTATATATTATGCAGTTTCATTATAGCTAAGAAAAGCAATTGACCAATCAAACAGAATCGTATAGTCCAATTTACCAGAGATATTGTAATATCAATTCACTTTACTAGAGATCACATAAATGATTGGATTAAATTTTTATGAAATGCGGTCATTATAATTAATTTTAATAATCTTTTCAAAAAAATTCGCCTATATGATCTAGTTCAGTAGTTGCAAAATATACTTAGCTAATCTGTGTCAAAATTTTGATGGTATCGTGATCTTGATATTGTCGGGATCTTGGTAGTGTCGGGATCTTGATATTGTCAGGATCTTGATAGTAGTGATGCAAACGGCTGGCTCCAGCTTGGCTACGGCTCAATCATAATGAAGCCGAGCTGCTTTTTAGCTGAGCCG